TTCCCCTCATCCCTGGCAGAGCATGAGGCTCAGAAAGTCCTTGATCAGAGTAAACATTACTGAGCAACAACTAAAAACATCGGTGTTATCAGTGCTTTTCTCAGGCTGAGAGTCAGAAACACAGCACAGCATCAGCTACTAAGAAGGAGAAAAATGACTGCTACTGCTGAACCCAGGACACTGTAATATGTGCATATGTTAAAGATACAGACCAGCTACAAGAAGATATCTTGTAGGACAAATATTTTTTGAGTTAGAGTTTGTACTTTCCTTCTTTGTTATTACCAACCATGAAGAAATACAGATAACCTTGTCTTCACCCTCTCAGTAAATTGTTTCAATTAAGCAAAACCCTGTAGTGTTAAGAAAATATTTTAATGCATTTCAGATTATGTTTGAGACTTTCAATGTTCCAGCCATGTACGTAGCTATTCAAGCAGTCCTGTCCCTCTACGCTTCTGGACGTACCACAGGTAGGCCTCTTGAGGAACATGACATGGATGTTTGAAATGGTAAAGCACGTTGACGTCCACCGGGGAATGAAATGTGTGTTATTTTGTCACAGGGATTGTGCTTGACTCTGGGGATGGTGTCACCCACAACGTGCCAATTTATGAGGGTTATGCCTTGCCGCATGCCATCATGCGCCTGGACCTGGCTGGCCGTGACCTGACAGACTACCTCATGAAAATCCTGACAGAACGTGGCTACTCCTTTGTGACCACTGGTAAGGACGTACTGCTGTCTGAGGAGGGGAGTTGTTTAATGTACGTTTCTAGTGGCCTTAGAAGGACTAGCAGTGGTTCTGCAGCTGAATAGACACAAGAAGGAATACAACAGGAAAGTCCTCTGTAAGACTAGCAGAGTATATGTTTAAAAAACAGGGAGGGTGCTGGAGAATGAAAGGGAATAACTTGTCAATATGTCTGTGTGCTTCCTGAGTGTCATTCTAAAGACTGAATCCTCTTGACAGCGGAGCGTGAAATTGTCCGTGACATCAAGGAGAAACTGTGTTATGTGGCCCTGGACTTTGAAAATGAGATGGCCACTGCTGCCTCTTCCTCCTCTCTGGAAAAAAGCTATGAACTTCCTGATGGCCAGGTGATCACCATCGGAAACGAACGCTTCCGCTGCCCAGAGACCCTCTTCCAGCCTTCCTTCATTGGTAGGTTGAATGATTGTTCTGCCTTTGTAAACTGCACATAAAGTTTCTATTTTCTTTTGACTGTGTCCCGTTGCTAACTCAGTCAGACCTATAGACAAGTATGTCCTAGCACCCATTATAAAATAGTTTTTTAGAACAGTACTGTTAATATGGTAGGAGGAACATTGGATCAAACAATAAGGCAAAATGCTTTCTCAGAATAAACCCTGAATGTTTACTCCTGGCTTCTGCTACTGGGCTTGTGCCATTTGCAGTTGGCTGCTACAAGAAATGTGGCCACAAAGTCACTTTTCTAAGTAGCGTGAGGATTGTGGGGAGCAGGCAACACCAGTTCTATTTTTCCAAAAGGCTGCTCCAGCCATGAAGGCGAATTTACAATGAGGTCTCACAGAAACCCAGCATCGGTTCTGCCAGTCGGCAGAATTTCAGCTCAGAAATAGATGAAGTAGTTGCATAGTTAGAGGCATCAGGACATATTGTGACTGTTCTGTCTCTGGGTTGGCTCATTACATTAACAAAAAAAAAAAAAAAAAAAAAAAAGAAAAAGAGAAGTTTAAAAAAAAAAAAAAAAAGAACAGAAATGATTCCAAGACCATATAAGGATTTCTTAGGACATTCGAGATTGCCTGCAAAAGTCTAGTACAAACTTTACTATTCCACACCCCCAGCTTTCTTTTGAAGGAGGAGTTGTGTGTGGAAAGGGGAGAGGAGAGCTGCACACCAAGGACCTACTAAGCAAATAATTTGGGCAGCTGCAGAATGACTTTCCAGGTTTCCACAGCTCTGAAGATTGATGTCTTTCTAAAGAGACACTGAAGTTCATGTTGTCGGTTCTGTCTTAGCAATTTGAAGTCTCTGTATGGAGTTGCTTTCTCAGAGTTCTTCTGTGCCTTACCCAGGCATGGAGTCTGCTGGTATTCATGAAACCACTTACAACAGCATCATGAAGTGCGACATAGATATCAGAAAGGATCTTTACGCCAACAACGTACTGTCTGGAGGCACTACAATGTACCCGGGTATTGCAGACAGGATGCAGAAGGAAATAACTGCTCTGGCTCCCAGCACTATGAAGATCAAGGTATGGTGCAATCATCTGTAGACTATTCGAGTTGGCACATACAAAGTCATCAAAATTCTTGTGAAATATAGCAACACTTTACAAAGTAACTGCTTTGTACATATTTTGAGTTGTGTTTGTACCTTCTATCAAATAACCACCACCTGATGACCTAGTTGCTGAAAGGAAGAGAGCCTTCCCTCCTCTCATTTCCTTGTTCACAGTGAATTCTGCAAAGTGCACTAGCATGGTCATAGTATGGATCCAGCAAGCTAAATTTTCCACTGGGGCTATATGTGAGCTTCTTCAGCCCTTCTTGGCTGATGGAGGTGAGATAGAGGAAATACTGGTTTTATCCCTGGCCTGAAAGTTCAGAAAAGGAAGAACCTCTGACAAGCCAATATCCCTTCTGCTGCTTCAGATCTTCCTTCATTGCTTTACAAACATTTTATCAACTGTACTAATAAGAATGCTCCATAGGTCACTCATTTTTCCAAGCCATCCTCGGCTACCATTATATGTTTCCAGAGCAAGTATCATGTCTTCTTCTCTCATATGCAACCATGAAAACTTGAATGCACTGCTCCTACTCAGGAGATTGACTCAGGCAGAGAAATTGAGAATTTAGACTCAGACTTAAATATCAACTTTTTAACTTTACTGCTTGTAGCAATGGATAATTGTAATGCCAGGGATGACACTAGCACAGATATACAATATTTTTGTTCATATCAAATATCACTGCTTTAATAATTTTTTATAACAAATGTATTTTATTCACTGGAGACAGTTGTACTTAATGCTTTTGTTTCTTAAACAGATCATTGCTCCTCCTGAACGTAAGTACTCCGTCTGGATTGGAGGCTCTATTCTTGCCTCCTTGTCTACTTTCCAGCAGATGTGGATCAGCAAACAAGAATATGATGAAGCTGGACCATCCATTGTTCACCGCAAATGCTTTTAAATTACTTTATCTTTATATGCCTCCCTAGTGTATTACTGTGAATGTATTCAGGAAAATACATTCTTATAATTTCATTCCATAAATCCTTCATCATAATTACTTTAATTAATTGGGTACTGTATTGTTTTTAATAAATTTTAAATATACTATGAAATTGCTGCTCCTATTTAAAAAAAAAAAAAAAAAAAAAGAAAAGAAAATGCTTGTGTGGAGGTACCATTACAGCTGGGTTGAAGCTCCATCTTGTGACGCCAATTTGCTACTACACTATTTTGGGCTTAGAAAAAGAAGTACCTTTCAGTCAATGTTATCAATGCTAGAAAATGCTCAGCTATCAGGCTGCGCATTGTCAAAGTTTAGCCTCTGAAAGCATTTTAGTCTTCAAACTGAACCAGTTTCAATTTTTCCAAAGTTCTGGGCAGTACCAAAGGAGCATAGCATATGTTCGATATCAGGATGAGCATCTGCACTCTGCTTTGCATCTGCTCTATCCAGAAATGTTATCTATCCACACCACTTCTTAACTCACAGCTGTCACGCTGGAAACGCTAATTTCTTACAGTTTGTGCCCCAGAGGTGTACGATGCATACTACAACAATTCTGTGTGTTTTCTTTAAAGAATCTGTTCATTCGGGAGCACACCTAAATACTCATTTTAGATTGAACACGTGACTTCTCTATCATATGCCCTCAGGATGAGGGCAGCCTGTTATTTTTATGTTGTGATTTCTGGCAAGTTTTAAAGGGTAATTAAGCTGGCTTAATACACTTTCTCTTCAAAACTGGGTTGTTTTTTATGGGGGGTGGGTGGTGTAATGTAATTGAAGTAGATAAGATGATTTAGACAGTTTTGTTTTTCTGTTAATTTTTTTCTGATTCCATTTATAGTCTTAAATACATAAAAAATGATATTCAACTAGAAGTATATGCATAGCAGCTGATGCTAGTGGTACTGTCTTAAAAGTATATACATAAAAAAAGAATTCAGTAAGACAAATCTGGAAAAGGTCAGTTCTAAGGAACTTGCTGTAATCTGTATGCATTAGAGTTCAGGATAAAGGATGCTATTTATTTTTGTTACCTATTTTCCTGACTAAACTCTATAGTTTACCTCACTCCTCTGTTGTGTGTTATCTTTCAGACTGTAAGCTTTTTGCAACAGCACCTGTTATTTACCATGTCTGCATAACCCCTGGGTTCCAGATCTTGTCCAGCTTCTGACTGTTAGCACATGTTCCGAACTTTTTTGTACTAACCGTGCTATTTAAAGTACAGCCCATCTAGGTTCTTGGAACAGACACTAAATAAATTCTTGTAAGAGCAAATAACTTTGTATGATTCTTCCTTCTAACTCTATCTACATCTTTTATCTAACACTGGATAGACCCAAGGAATCCCTTTTGGGATAAGAACTTTATTTCAAATAAAGGTTTCTACTGCAGGGTCACTGGAGAAGACACATTTGTCCAGGGAACTCTGATGTATCTCTCATATTTCAAGATGTGATGATGGTTAGCTGTCAGGTAAAGGAGTTGTGTTTTCCTAAACATTTTCTGCTAATAACTTAGCCAAGAGTTGAGCTATACAAGGATGGGACAGAGAAAAGAATGAAAAAAGGAACCAACCCCCAAATCACCCAAAATGTTATATTTGTCTCTACTACATATAATGCAAAGACTCTGAAGCAGTGAAGAGATATAAGTAGCTAGACGTCACAAAAAGCCAACCACTGTTAAAAATCTCTAGTTCTCAGAAAGCAATTAATGCCAACATGTGACAGAAGAAACATTATTTATTTCAACACAGTTACTGTTGTTTGAAGTTATTTTTATTGTGGTTTATAGGTGAGATTTGTTTACAGATTCAGGGGTAATGCCACTGAAATCCATCTTGAAGGAGCAACAAAATAACTCTGAAACAGGCTAGAGCAATAAATATCAAACCATTCAATCTAAAATGTATAAATATAAAATTCATTTCTGAAAATGTAGGAAAAACGGGGATCCATTTTTCTGTTTTGGCCATTTGTACAGTAACATAGTGATTGTCCATCTGTATCACCTCAGATCCAGCACAATTATCTTTATGTCCTTCCCGACCACATGGGAACATGGCTGCAGAAGACGACAAACCATTAGTCACAAAAATAATTTTCAGTAAAGCAGCATAAGAGGGCTATGGTTCCTTTTTCATTTTCTGAGCCTGCTTAATACTATGCCTATCTATCCAGCCTTGACTGTACCTGTCACTGTGCCTGACCAGCGCAAACTGGTCCTGACCACTGCAAACCTGACCATCACAGGTATACAATGCTGAATAAAACAAGGACTACAACATCCAATCAGAAATAAATTTCTAAAGATAATATTGTTCAGGGTTTAGCCTGTGCAATAGATCACAGTTCTGTGCGATCCTTTATGTATCACAGCGTGGGATACCTCAAACGGAGAAGGAAGGTGGTGTGTACTGCATTAGAAAAGGTGATGGGGGACAGCAGCAAGGAATGTGTGAACACTTGTTCTCCTGCAGTGGTTTCAGATATGTCTGCTCATATAGTGGATTTCTTTTAAGGACTAGATTGTGTCTTTAGAGGCTGTGATCCCACTGATTTTGTTGGAATATCCATGTGTTTTAGGGATTGCGCTTGAAAAGATATTTGTGTTCAATATACAACACCAGCAGTGTGTCTAATGAATATAAATCAGCTCAAATGGGCAGTAACTTCATTAATGAACTAATTCTGTAAAGAGTTACTGAAAAGAGCCCATTTGAAAAAAGAAGTCGTACATTTTTTCAGAGTTGGATGACCTTTTCATTATCCTTACAGTCAATGATAAAATAAGAGAAGAAAACAACCCAAATTTATCTTCCTTTTGAGGAGTAATATTGATATTCTGAGAGTCCTTCAACAAAGAAATAATTTCCAATGTCTTTCAGCATTACTTCTCTGTATCTGATCATTTTTATTTGAGCTATATGAGATGTTCTGTATATGAAGTGGGAGAATGAGTTTCCTTAAGAAAGTCTTCATTATCCAATGGTAAAAATTGTTTTCTTCTGGATGACTGCACCATTTCTGATAATTCTAACTATACTATAGATATAGCATACTATGCTAATTAAAACATTAAAAGATATGGTAGTTACTGAGAAGCCAGTGGAAAATTATGGGCGATGAAGGAATTACAGGTAACAAATTATTAACATGGAGGAAAACCTATAAAGAAATCTAACCTGAAACACATACAATTTCTGCTTGCAGCAGAACCACAGGCAAGAATTTGAATAGTCAAAACCATGCTGGATTATATACTTACATTAAATAACCTAAGGTCCTTTGTATGTGGATGGAAACCTTTCTTTTTGCAAGCAGAAACTTCTAGCATGCCAGCATTAGTAAGTCTGAAGATGCCGGTGCTGGAAAGCAAAAGATTAAATTCCTGTTACATACTGCTCCCATAATACATGGTCAAGGTTTCACATGCAAATTGCTTAGCTTAACAGAAGGACAACAGAATGGTACTCAATGACCTTTGGTACTCAGGAGCCAAGGCTGAGTTGGATACTTAAAAGTATTTGAAATCAAGGGGAGTTGTATTCTTGTGAAGGAAGACATGATGAGGGGAAGGGAAGACTGAAAAAAAGAAATCACAGTACTGGAGCTATTCCCATTAGGCAAGTTAGGCTACTAAGGGCCGAGGCTAGCTCACGCAGAAGGATAGAAACCAGAAACTTAGGTGCTCTGGACTGCATTTCACTCACTGAACTCTAGAGGGACAACTGTAAAATAGAGCAGCCTTTAAGCTAGCTGTGTAAATGACCGGTGAGAGTACACATCCTCCCCACTCTTGGGTAATTAAGTAACACAAAGTACTACAAATTGCACTGCTGAGTAAAACTGGGTGTTGACTAAAATGTCAGAGACCCCATCCTTTTGAAAACAACGTTAATACCTAATGGCTACAGGACAGAACCTGATTGATAATATGTTACAGATAGTAGTAACAGATAGTAGTAACAGGTTACATTTGGTTACAGAGTATCTGCATGAACTACAAAAGAAGTTGGAAGCCAGTTTTGGAAAGATACGCAGGTGTATTCTAGGTTACAAAGCCTAGCACACTTGTCACTCGGCCTGTATTTAGAGCTGTGCTACCTGAACGGCTCATATAGGAAACGGGGCAAGCAGAATGGGATTCACAGAAGTTATCTACAAAGGTGGAAGGACAGAAATGAAGGCTGAAGAAATGCACTACGTAAAAAATTAAGTTAGCTCTGGGGTCTTGAAGTGCCAAGCACTCCAAAACAGAATCATGGAATTGTTGAAGTTGGAAGGAACCTCTACAGCCTCAATACCCTGCTTCAGCAGAATCACCTTAAACAGGTTACCCAGGACCACGTCCTGGTTTTGAGTATCTACAGGGATGTAGACTTCACACCCTCTCTGGGCAAGCTGTTCCATTATAAAACTTCACATTAATACTTAAATATTTTCATTTATTTTCCAGAAACTTATTGTTTGTATTTTATAAAGTACAAAAATAGGACTTTATAAAAGATGTGATCTTTACTCTTCTACTCCCCAAATTGCATTTTCCAGATCATCCTAGAGAAATACGTCTAACCCCTCTGCTTCCTTTATCAGACAGAATGAAGGTAGGTCTGTGGTAGTGCACTGACACTGAGGTCTCCAGAACAACTCCTGTCACTACTACTTGACTGAGCAGAGTATGAAAATAGACAAAATTTAAGACCTTGGGCTGGGAAAGGAGGAGGGGGAGAGAGAAGCCATAAACAGCACTGTGCATAGAGACTAGTTGGAATGCAAGTCTAAGCAATCTAAAGAAAGCAAACTCACAACACAGTATTCCTGCCCTTCATCCCAGTTGACACGTGCTGTTTGCACTTCATTAGGTCTTGCAATAAAGAGCAGGGGAAAATATCTAAATATTACTTAGAAAAATCGGAACTCACTCATTATGCTTTGGTGAACAAACAATTGCAATGGCCTCTGGCAACATTAGCTGATAAGAACAATGAGTATGAAGATCAACACTGGATAAGAATGCTGTTTGTGTTGGATGTGTCTACAAAAAGAAAAGGAAAACTCAACATCATGAAATACTTCTTACCAATCAAGGTTGATACACATTCAAGAAAGAACAATAATTTGTAACAAGTGAAAGCATCAGTACTTCCCCACATTGGTTTCTGTTAAACCAGATTCTACATTGTTAGGGTGGCTTTTCAGTATGAGATTTATAGCGGCATATTCACAACCAGATGCACAAGCAATTTTCTGATCATGGGGGAAAAAAGGTGGAGTGAAGAAGCACAAGACAAAGGCAAATGACTCGATTGTCCAAAATCCCCAAGAGTGAAATTAATATAAAATTTAAACAACACAATACTTCTGTCCCCTCCCCTTTTGAATACAGTAGAAAATAAATGGCATTAGAAAGTAATAAAATACCCCTAGGTCAACATAAACAGAAGCTGTACTGGCAAATGCAGGCCCGTTGTGTGATCAGGATAGTTCAACTGCATTAAGAAACACTTATCTGTGGAGAGCATTAGTGCTCATTTACATGACAACAATGAGAACTAAGTGAGCAAATTAATGTGGATTATTCCAGTTCTTCAGTTTGTTGTTTCCAAGGGTTTTTTTTCCACATAGTATGCAGAGCTGATACTAAAAGCTGGAATCTATGAGTCATACGTACATGGATCCAACCCAAAGTGAGGAGATCATACTGATCCTGAATACCAAATAACTCTTCCACATTCTCCATGTCACAGTAGTCTGGTCCTGCAGATTGCTTTGGCACTATTACATGGGTGATAGTAAATTCATTATGTGTCTGTAAAACAAACATCGACTGTTTGAACAAATGAACTAATAAATAAATGCTAAATCAGGATCTGAAACATGTCAGCCTATCAGCTAAACCAAAGCAGTATAGCTCTGCTGATTCCAGTGCAGCTATACTCACTTACTGCACCTGAAAACATGCTTTAACATTTTATCATGAAAACATACAGGGTAGTATTAGTAACAACACGAGACTGTTGTATGGCAGTGTTCTCAGAGATGACTGTGAAAAGGTTGTCCTTTAAAATAACATGAAAGAAGAGGTTTGAGAATACTATTATTATTTTCTGTGACTATTTTCTTGTAACATCACTACTTTTGCTATTCTTTCTCTTTACATGATTCAAATACACCTGGACATCATCTTTAAAATTCTATATATGCCAGCATCATCCATGGCATGCTTCCTTGCTCTAAAATTGTTATCTAGGTCAAAGGAAAATCAAACCAAAATAAAACAAACAAACCCAGCTTGAAAATCAGATGTAGTACAGCTTGATGGGGGGAGGGGTTTTCTTTTTTGTTGTGCTGTTATGAATTTGATGACTCCTGTAGATTTTAACAGTCTTTATATTTCATTGTCCTGCAACTAAACCTCACTTACCTTACATGAATGTCAGAGAAAGTACTCGAAAAAGCCTGCATTGTACAGCACGTACAGCTGAAAATCTTGCTACCTTTCATAACAACAGTGTACTTTGATCAGATGTTTCCCCAATAAGGCAAGCCTACACTGTTGAAGTGACCACTCAATTTATAATATGAAGTTAATTGCACTAAAGACTAATTGCTTAGATCTGCTTTTGTTCTGAAATCAAGACATTACAGGAAAATACAACACTATCAAATGTCTTCCCCAAATAAATGTGAGGGTTTAACTGTACCAGTTTTCCACAGAGAATTCCACATGTCTCTATTCCTCTTAATGTATTTGCCTCTGCTAACAGCAGAAATTTGTGACAGAGATCCCTGGGCAAAATGACGCCTCTGAGTGCTTCTGCCAATTGAGCTGACAAAAGAGAAAGTAAGAGAGAGAAAAAGGCATTTGCAGCTTACACAGTGAAGTTCCTTAAAATAAAGAAATATACATAGTTACAAGAAATTATTAGAAGTGAAAGAATTATAATTCCAAATCACAAATTTCTAATGAGAAGAAATCTATAGCACAATCACCTCACGCTAAATTGAGGTCACCAGCCCATAAAATAAGCCCACTGCTTTGCACCTGAGGTGACAATGAGCTGATACCATCCCTGGCCAGGGCTTTCCAGGGTGAAGCATTGCAGGTTCTGCTTTATTTGTCTTGAAGTCCATGGCAAGATTTGGAGTTCATTACACAGGAACACTAAGGCTCAGTCCCCAGATCCATCTATTGGTACTCAAATGGAAAATGTGAAACTGTTCAATTAATCTCCTCTCTTAAAACGAAGAAACTATATGGAACTGCTGTGTGTACATGAACTGGTTCATGCTTATTTCACTATGGACATCCTCACAGTCAATACATATGTAAGCATATGCAATATGTGGGCTGCTATAAATGGCAAAAAGGCAGATAAAAAAGAAACTAAGAAAAATCTCTGCACTTACTCTGAACAGCACTTAAAGTAGCTGCTGGCTTTAAGACCCGGTTTACTGGAGGTGAATGTCCAGCGCAGCCAGATTTGCTGCTCCCCTCTTTTTTTTGAAGCAGTGTGGTAGACAGGGAGCTGTTGTCTGGTACAGAAATACAAGATAGCGTACTTCCATCTATCTGTTCAGACATAACCATGTTCTCCTTGATTTTCTGATCTCGAGCTAGTTCTTGCTTCTTAAGTTGATCCTCAAAGAATTGAAACTGTTCTGATTCAAGCTGTTGTTGCCTCATATGTGCAATTCGTTTCTTCTCTGCCTCTATTAGCTTTTGATGCTCTAGTTTCTTCAGAAATTCGGTTCTACGTTTGTTCTGAAACATATGAAAAACAGTGATAGCCTCAAAACACTAAAAAAGGGTACAAAAAAATGAAGGGAAAGAAGCAATCTAATTGTTTAATAAAACCACCAAGTCCTGTCAATAAAAATCAAGTCTTTTGAAATTTGCTGAACTGGCAAATACAACTATATCCCCAAATGCAGTAGGATACAGAAAGTAAGGAACTACTAACATGAAATTTCCAATCTGCATATGTGTGCTGAGTGCTATTTTGTTTTTTCTTCAGCAGCTGTAACACTGGCCTCATTTTCCATATATAAAGTCATCAGAACAAGACTTTTCGGAACAGTGATGGTAAAAAGACTAGACGGAAGAGTAAGCCCTTGCATTTTTTTAATGCAATAAGAAATCTATGAACACGAGTTTTTTTGCATAGATTTCACAATCCATTTTGTTATCTGGTTTTGTTGCTTGTTGCTGCTGTTCCGGTAAGTTGCTATTTAGGAAAATTTCTTTGCTACTTTCTTTCCTCAGCTTTCCCTGGATTGCTTAATCTGGTTTTGGTGCATAGCCTCCCCAGCCTCAGATGCATTAGGTGGCTTCTCCACCCTAGCCTATGTGTGCTTGTCCCCAAGCCACCTGCTGTTCCACAAACTGCAAGGGAAGCTTTGGGTTCTGACGGCCCTTCCTCCTCCCCAGTAAAGGAGAACTTCAAGCATCTTCAGAAGCAAATGAAAAAAAAAAAAAAAACACAAAACCACAGCAAAGTTATTTCTTAAATGTCATGAACAAAACAGAGCAGGAAAGAAAGCTTCAAACCGATCAGAGACAGGAATATGGAGTCAATTTTAAGGGAAGGAAAGAAAAAGATGTTTTTTCCCAGATACTCTTTCCAAGCAAGCTTTTAAAGCTACAGATCCTGTTCTCAGTAACTTCAATACACAAGACACAAGTATTTACAGTTATTTAAAGGCTAGAGCAGGCTCAGTTCAAACTTGAACGTATTAGGAGCTAAGGGACTTTTTCTGTATACTCACACAGATGTATTATCAGTACCCTTCTTACAAAACAGAACCAGAATGTAACCAAGATCTATTTAGATACTTGTAGACAGTCATTAAGTAAGTATCACAGCACATTTATTTCCAAGCACACATTTGCATTATTTATTTTCAAATGACCAACTGGTTAGGTTCTGAAAAGTGAGAAGTCATTTTAAGCATCCTGTGAAATGATTAGGTTCTTGTAGAACTGGCATTTTACTGCTTCGTTTTTAAGACGTTTCATATGACAGGGAAAAACTCATACCAACAATGATTTAATAAGCATATAAAACTTACTTGATTTTGCATGTATTCTTGATATTCTAAGTTGTATTTTTTTAAAAGATCTCTCTTCAATTCATCTGTCCGTGGAAATGCAACCTCCTTCAATTTCTTTGAGGTGGGGTGGAGAAGAAAGAGAGATAAGTTTACTTTCTGTTTTTTAAAAGAACCACCTGGAAAACAAACTCAGTTGTAATACAGATCTTAAAATTGCAAAATAGCAAAAAAAAAAAAAAAAAAAAAAAAAAAAAAAAAAAAGTACTGATCTTCTTCCAGGAAATAAAAGAACTAATTCATCATATTATGAAACTTCTGTAGTACTCTGACTTCGATAAAGCTATATGTCAGTGAAAGATGTGACATGACTACTACTTATCTCAATGGAAGATTAATCCTTTTCCAGATTGCTGTCTGTTATCTCTGTTTTCTTTAATAACTGTGTGATGACTAACTTTTTTGTTGTAGGTGTAATTTATTAAAGAAGCCAAGGCAGACTTTCAGGTAGGATCATCACAGTTTTCTCTGGGAATCCATGGACAGAAATATGTCTGAATATAGCCATTTCCAGGTGGAGAAAAAAAAGAATTTATTTGCAGAGACAGCTGGTAGCTTCCTGTGACACCCCTATTTGCAAAACAAAAGCAATGCCCTATGTTTTCTACTGATGCAGAGGCTACTACAAAATAATTTGGAGGCTGTAGGGAAAACAGGGAAAGAGACCATTTGCTTAATCCTACTGAGTGCCCTACTGTGTGAGACAGTCAAAAATTTGACATGAAGCATTTTGGCTTTTGTGAGAGACTGAACTGAAACCAGACTCCACTCTCCATTGTCTCAAAGATTGGTATGAGAAACTGAGATAGAACTCCGCTGTCCGTTATCTGAGAGATGGGTGGGAGGAGCTGAGATAAGACTCCTCCATCCATTATCTCAAGGACTGTGCATTAATTATCTCAATGATAGCTGACAGACATGCACAGTTGAAGAGCTGGCTGCAAGGTCAGTGAAACTGGTCCACCAGGAACGTGCAGTAGGTGACATTAAGAGCAGAGGTACTCCCCCCACCTCATAACAAAAGGGGAAAAAGGTAATCATCCACATCCAAAGACTACTATGGGCCCTTGGGGACACTGACCTCTGATGCCAGCTACAGAACCTGGAGGACTCCCATTACTGAGGATGATGACTATGAACCCTCAGGACACCACTGGATCCATGGTGGTGGCTATCTCTCTGTGCTCTGAATGAATGAATGAATTTCTATCTTTTTTTCTGATCTGTCCTATAGCTATATTTTTTTATAGTCATTTCCTTTTTTATAATAATTGTCTTTTAATAATAAACAAACTGACAGATTTTGGTACATAACCTCACTTGTGTCTTAGTTTCATTCTGGGAATCATGAATGAAATATTTCCGTCACTGGGGTTTTCCCCAGTTGGACCCTGACAGCTTTGAATATAACACCACTGAGCTTTAACTGTAGGGAAAGGATGCAAATATGGCAGCATCAAGCAAGGAGCACTTATGCTTATTCTAACAATTCTCACTGGGCAATTCCAGATAGTTTAAGCTCAGAATAAGACCGTATTTGAAATTCTTTTTTAGAAATTAAAAAAAAAGAGAAGGTAAAACTATTTTATACACAAGTGGAGGGAAAAATCTGGTATGAAGTAACTACATATTTGGCAATAAAGAAAGCAAAAATATACTTTGATTATTTAACAGGGTAAACAAATACTGCACAGACACCAGTAACGCCACACATCTCTCTTTTCCTGTTTGCAATAGTCAATTTGGACCATTATCTACTCATGTAACTAGGACCAGAATCAAACTCAAAGTACTGTTCAGTTAATATATAGTCTTTCAGAAATAGATGCACCTGGGTTTCCAACAATGTACTAACTTCTTCAGAGAGTATTCTTGTTCACTTTGTAGATCGATAATATGATTTCCAATAATGATCATGTGTTTAAACCAAAAAAAGACATGAATTGTTAGTGAAGAGAGGTGTGGTGGCTGCCATGGGGTATGTGTGAACTGGGAGTGCTGAGAAAATAGATAGAGATTCTGGGCAAACATTTCTTAAAGGCCAAGAAACCATAACCCTACCTTAATAATGTCTTGTTTTTCTGGTATTGCACATTGGTGATAGTCTCGGTGATTAGGCAGCTTTTCCACGAACAACCTAGAAAATTAAAAGTGTGTGTTCACTTCAACAGCTAGAGGAACATTCACAAGAGCTTTTATGTTGGCAGAAAAATCAGTTTCACATAACTGTTGAACACTGAGTTCCAGTCAACTCAGAGCAGGTTTCTACACATTTGTTTAAACTAACACTTAAATGCTTGTATAGACTTGCATGGGGCACATAGGGTAATGACAGAAGATTATTTTCTACATCTAAACATATTTTGGTTAGGTTAAAAAAGGGCTAACTAGCAGCCAGCACCTAAAAATAGCTCTCAAAATCACCATACACCTAGTCAGTGTTAATAAATCCTATTTCTACTGTCTTTATCTGTCCTGACCTGAAATGCTAAATCTTACATGGGAAGTCCAGAATGCAGAACTGACTGTCGTTACAGCAGTTATTTTTACCAGACCAAGCTGCACAGCTAACGGCAGTGTTCTGAACTTACCCTGGCATCTAAATTATGGCAATACCCATCTGCAAAGACTTTGGAATACACAGCTGCTATCGTTATTTCAGCAATTTGTATGATGTTCACCTCCAGACCTTTTTTATAGAGATACAGATGTTTAAAATTAAGTGGAATAAGAAAGATTTGGTCTAGTTTTCAAAGCATGAGGAAAATAAGGGAGGAGGAAAGAGATATCCCATTATAAAAAATTAAAAATACACATACAAAAAACTCCATTTCAGAAGTAAGAAAACCAAACAATACTATAACAAAACTAACTAGTTTTAAATCTGCCACTGATATATTTTTCAGCTGGTTATTTTGAGATTTGGAAAGAAAGCTCTCCAGATTTGGTGGTTTGCATGGGAAAAATAATCATACAAAGAACATATGTTGTAGATTTTGTGTTTATTCATGCAAGCAGCAATACATTTTACTTAATCCTTTTAGGAAAGAAAAATAAAATGAGGAAAAAGCCATTTTTTCATGGTTTTTAAGTGCTGTGCAATACTACCATCTTTAAGATCAGCAGAAGCTCATAGGCTGTACCTACTAAAGGCCCAGAAATTTTATCTAACCATTGCTTTTTAATCCAACATGGTGACAGATATAGAATAACATTGTTTATAGTGTAGCCTCGTATAGTAAACTTAAACTTCTGTATGTTAGGCTAGTTCACATCTGGCAGTTAATAGGTGGATAGGGGTAGTGTACTAACAGTTGAGATGAAATTACAACAAAGCCTCTAGTTAAAGATCTCCAGAGAACAAAGCTATTCTGCAAGAACACACTTAGCATTTTCCCCCTAAGCTAAAGGTGTGCCCTGTTTTCACTGCAGCTCTTCAGTTTACTCAGAATTATAAGCTGTAAAGACTACAAACAGTTTCTTACGTTATGAACTTATTATAAAACACAAAAGCATTCTCCAGGTTTCCCTCCTCCATATATACTGATGCCATTCGCTCCATCTCTACTCCAGATCTAAAGTAACGACGCGGAGTGATATCTTCATTGATTGTGATATTGCTGCCAAGTTTGCTTAAGGCACGTACTCTCTCTTCTGGGGTCACAGAGATGTCTGTATGGTCAGGAATAGCTACCAGCTTTTTCTGAAAAAGAACAGAGAGGTTGGCAAACAGAACCAGATATTATGTTTTGCTTTCAGTAAGTGATCTTATTCAAGAAACTCGAAGTCATAGAATGACAGAATGGTTAGTGTTGGAAAGGATCTTAAAGGTCGTTTTGTTCCAAGCTCCCTGCCACAGGCAGGGACATCTTCTACTTGACCAGGTAGCCTCATTCAACCTGGTCTTGAACATTGTCAGGGATGGGGCAGCCACATCCTCTCTGGGCAAAGCTTCTCTTGCTTTAGCCTGCACGAAATATCACCACCCTCACAGTAAAGAATTTCTTCCTAATTTCTGACTTAAACCTCCGCTTTTTCAGTTTAAAGCTATTCTCCCTTATCCTACCACTACTTGCCCTTGTAAAAAGTCCCTCTCTAGCTTTCCTGTAGGCCCCCTTTGGGTATTGGAAGACTTCTATAAGGTCTCCCCTGAGCCTTCTCCAGGAAGAACAAGCACAGCTCTCTCAGCCTGTCTTCATAGGAGAGGTGCTCTAGCCCTCTGGTCATCTTCATGGCCCTCCTTGGGACTTGTTTCAACAGGTCCATGTCCTTCTTGTGCTGGGTGCCCTGGAGCTGAACATAGTAATCTTTAGCTTTTTTCTCAAAACAGGCATTGTTTTCACCACCAGGAAAACAGTTAAAACATTCAAATGTTTTTCAATTGCAAATAAATAGTGATTGCAATCATAAATAAAAAGTGATCTTATCCCCTTCACAAATCTTCAAATCACAAAAAAATTAAGTAAATCTCTGTAGAAATTATCTAAGGCAACACAAAGTGTGTTCTCTTTAGAAACCTCCATACATGAAGTTTTGCAGTATTCTGTCCTAAGTTATTGTAATAATTTGATGGAGGGCCTGAATACTCTGACTCCATCACGTGACTGCTGGGTATAGTTCCTAATAAAGAGCAGTAAGTTTCCCTGCTCAGTCAACAGTTCACTTCAAATGTTCATTTCCAGTTTCAAACAAGGCAGTTACAGCCCAAGAAGTTAGAACGAATTCTACTGAAGAAGCATAGCTGTTTGTTATAATAATTAACTTCCTCTTAAGTGACTAAATGACTGGCTACTGTAAGTTATTTCCTCTTACTCTGATGAAAATTTTTACTCTTTCTATTCAAAATGTTCCTTTCAACTTCTTAAAAACCTGATCACTGAAGCAAGTTGAAACCCCATAAACCACATATAAAATATGTTGCAACAAAGCCATGGGGCAGAATGTGTGAGGAACTGGCAGTATGCGGGAAGCAACCCTTGTAGCTGACAGCCAACACTAAGCATCTATTTTGAATTGTTTCCTATTTGAAAGGGAGGGTGCTCAGCCACTAAAGCATTTCTTTGTAATACATACCAATGAGGTGACAGTGAATGATTGTTCCATGTTGTTTTCTGTCTGCAAACCAAGGAGATTGCTCTTTTCCTCCAAAGTCTCCATCTGACAGTGGGAATCCAGCACTCAGTATTTGCAGCCAGCTGTCTCAGGGTTTATTAGCCCAAGGGAAACATAGATATATAACTGTGGTCATGTGCTGGAAAAAATAAGGCAAGTCATTCTGATTTAGTACTACATGCAAATGTCATGTAAGTTTGCATGCCTGCACCTACTCATAACTTCACTATCACAGTATTTACATATTTAATAATAATCTAAAATTTACCAGGCATCTAGAATTTAAAATGGGAATGCATAGGGGCTTACAGGACATTTTGGACTAGCTGACTTGTTCTAATGTTATAAAGTGTCCAAATCCTCTGTAATAACAAGTTATATTTACAGTTTTTACGGTAACTTAACACACTTCCCAACTTTCAAGTGTTAAGTGGAAAACTCAAAAGTTCAAAGACTAATCACAGAACCTGTGTTTCCTTGAGAGTATGTTTTGACAAACACAATTACAAACAGTGTGAACCTGGCATCTTTTTTTCTGCTAAACCTGTAATTAAACTGAGCACAAACTCATACCAGTAATGTAAAGCAGAGAAAATACTTCACGCACTATGTGCTCCTGACTTCAACAACACTCGAAATACAGTGAACTCTAATGAGTTAACTGATATTAATTGCTCCTTTCACAGCTCTGAACAGTGAAGACAAATATTTAGACATGTGGTCATCAGAAAAAAATAAATAAAAACCCAACTGCGAAAGGGAAATTAATTATTTAAATTACAATGGAAATATGAAAAAGAAGCTCTTAATGTGGTTTTTTTTTCACATATGTGCACTCAATCTAAACAGATTTGCTCCTGAATGTCAAAGGCACTTTATATGTTGCAATAAATATGCTTTATGCTTTCATAAAAGCATAAAGAGTGGGTTCAGCAAAGATATTTTCTCAGCACATCTCTCTCTAGAGGCTAGAGGACTCTGGGTTAGAGAAAAACAACCCTAATGTGTTTTTAGCTGGCTGTGTTTCCCAAGTATTGATTTCCGTATTTGGGTCTTCCATATTTTGTCAAAAAAAACTAACAGTATCTATTAGATCAGTCATTAATTTTAACTATTAGTGTAAGTATTACAGGGGACATTAAATCCATTTCAGTAATAGACTTTCTTTGAAATAATCAGAATCATCCTATTTTACTTGTAAAAGCCCTTACTGGTATTCTCACGCTGCATTACTGGATAGTTCTTCCTCCACTTTTCTGTACAACCTCCCAGTCTCAATGAATATATTCTTCCTTGACTTTATATCCATGGTTTCCACTTTCAGGATTTTTATTTTCCTTATCAAGTATGTCACAGGTTTTTTGAAATTAAGGTATTAAAAATCCTTGCACAACTTGTGACAAAAAAGATGGAACATGTTGTATACGCCCAAGACATCAACATTAGTTGTGGTTGCAGTGCTAATGGAAACAGTTCTCTAAACAATTTAATTTTATATCATGGAGCTCTGGTGTAAAGGATCACCTTGGCAGAAGAGCCTATTCATTGCCTATTTGTGAGCTGTAGAAAGGCCTCAGGGGATCACAGTAATTAATATTTTTTTTGCTTTAGCCTATACAAAGAAACCTACTGCCTTGCCTAGTTCCACCTGAAACCCTTCTTCAGCTTGATGCAGAGGGTTGACCAATGTACAGGGGGGTTGTACACGGGGGTTGTACAAGGGGGTTAGAGGAATTTGCTTAAGCAAAGGTATTGTCTATACCTATCATGCCTACTAAGCAGAACAAAAGCACTAACTATTGATAAGGAAAAGCAGACACCTGGTTCTATTGACAAGGAAAAGCAGGCACTTGGTTCTATTGACAAGGAAAAGAAGACACCTGATTCTACTGATAAGCACCTATTGATCGGGAAAAGCAGACCGCTGAATCTACTGTTAAGAGGGAGAAGCAGATGGCTGATGGCTGGGACCAAACCCTAAGGCCATATGTGAAGACTAAAAGGTGAAAAGTTCAAGAAGAGGAAGACTCATTTACTTCATCTTGAAGACCCCTACCCACAGGAGGAAGACTCATTTACTTCATCTTGAGACCCCTGCCCATGAAAAGAGGGGGCACTGCGCAGGCGCAAAGGACCTTCTAGCTCACTGTAATACGAACCGGGGATAGGACATGAATATGTATAGGCGTATGGTGCAACCTTATAAATGTAGAGGGAAACAACACTGGGGCACGCATGACTTTGAGGAATTATCCCCGTGCATCTCAGCGCTGAATAAAAAGCATACCTACTTTACAACTTTAACGAGCTGTGGAGTCAATCCGTGCATCAAGCTGAACCAGCGCAGGTGCGGTAGGCTGTGAAAGGAGAGGGCCAAAAGCTTAGCCAGTGCAGAGCTCACATTAGTCTTCTGCCCCTGCAGCCCCAATTCTAAGCAGAAATAATATCTTCGGTGCGAGACCCTGCATTCATATGCTCTGTGTGGCTTGGGAATAACAATCACAAAAGGAGATCTAAGCTAAATGGAAGGATGGGTTTGGTCTAGAGTAAGCTCAAGTATGACAGCTGCAAAATATTCTAGAATTCTATTTATATATTTAAAAAAATAGTTCAAAAGTAAAGAGGAAATGTATTTCTATTCAGTTCTCTATTTCAATTAGCAGCTTTTGGGCAAGAAAACTGCTTTGACTTTCTCCAAAACCTAGTGAGGAAATGAATATTTAAGAGAATGCTCTTGAGATGCTTTCCAATGGAGGGCATGGGATATAGATCATATGTTGCTTTCCGCTATTACTGCACCTAGACCTTTCAGCCTTCCTGCTAGGTAAGGGGGAAAATGTTACTGCAACAAGTGGGAACACAAAACCCACTAATTGGTGGTTTGGTTTGGGCCTTTGTTAAAGAAGCCTATGGTATCCTCCAGCCAAAATCTTTTTGGAACTGGCACAGGGAGATATCATGGAACTCTTTACCTGCAAAAAATTCTCATTTTGATTGACTTTAAGAATATAAAGTTATAAATGCGATTTCAGTGAATTTTTAAAACTAAACAAGTATTAACAATAAGGAAAACCAAAGTGTAATACCAGGTATTTTAAAGAGGAGACATCTGGTAACAGCAAAAAATCACACTTCCTCAAAATTGTGTCAAAGTTTTGAAAGGATGAAGAAGCTCTGTCACAGTGCAAGAGCTTAGCATAAGAATCACTGCAAATGAAAGAGGAAACTGTTTAAATTTGGATTTGGGAACACATTAAAACTCAGACACTGCAAATAAAGAATACATACTAGGATGATCTTGTATCACTTTTTAAAAAATGACAAATAAAAATCAAAGATATTAGCTATTACAAGTGGCAGCATAATTAAAACCCCCCTAAAACTATAAAGAACGTGGGCTCTCTTATGAATGCATTCCAGACACCCTGGCCAGAATTATAAACGATTAAAATGCAGAAAGTTAAGCTTTACTAAAAACACCACCACAGTCAGTTCCCCGGGATGCCTTTGTGCATAATGCTCCTCATGGCGCAGCTTCACAATTGCCTTCAGCTGGCTGAAGGCCATGACGCTGCCAAGGGGCTCCTCTTACCCCCACCACACCTCCCTGTACTTTCACTTTGTTGACACCAGTGACTTCAAGACAAGTTGTAGCTGATCCAAATTAAAAACAAATAGAAATTTAAAATGAATTACTTCCTCCTCAAACTCTGAAATGCAAGGGAGGAGGCAGAAACATGAAGCCAGCAAGCAGACTTGCCCATTTCTGAGGCAGTACTGTCCTAGATCATTATGAGCTGGCTTTGAAAATGCACCCTAAGAGCTTGTATAGTGCCTACAAGAATTGGCCATTCTCTGTGTATTTTGGAAAAACATTTACATTTCACTCTAAAAGAGCAAAATACCAAACCTCTTTATATTCAAACACACAAAATAGTTAAGCTAACACAGTGAACTACACTCCAACCCTAACTACAGGCCATAAGAAACAACGCCAGCTTGAAGCTCTCTTAGTTTATTAGAGTGTCAAGTGTTCTAAATTCAAGGACTAAAGATGCATCTTTTTTCTGCTTTACAGTTTTAGGCACTCCAACTAACTTAGATGGACTTAGGTAATGCTGATTAAGAAGAAATGCCTGGACATTTAGTATGCAAATCAAGCTTTTTCTAATTATATATGTTGTGACAGTTATTATATATAAGAATTTAACATCCTTTCAACAGTTAAGAAACTTTTCTCAATTTTACTGGTAATGGCACTCCCCAACAAATCCTCAAAGAACATTTCCTTTCCTATATGATCCAGCTTTTTTTACTATTCATTAATCCTTTGCAAAACCCAGCTAGATTAAATCAAATGCTTTCAGTTATAGGAAATAGAGCAAAGTGAGAAAATCAGCATTTTAAATGTCACTAAAAGTGATTCTTTCTTTTCAGGCTAACAAGCATGATACCAAGTACCATAGAAGTGAGAAGCAGAAAGAGAAATTTTAACTTAAAAGTATATGCAGATAGTAATGCATAAAGATAGAATATGTCTATCAAGACATACAGAGTACCTCAAGAGTAGGTTAGTAAGACAGAGGTGGCATGAGAAGATCTAGAGAATACATACACAAACTCTCATGGTTTTCTGAGAGGTATAATATCATAATTCATCACAAATTCTCCAACGCCCTCACAATTTGCTGCATGCTGGCATGTATCAAACAGTTGTCAGGAAGGATGGATGTGGACAAATGAGCCTCTTTGCCTGTGTTTGGAGCCTGAGAGGCACAACCCTGCTAATTTTTCAAGCTATATAACTATGTTCAGTGACAGCAAGATGTGATACACATAGCTGCACAGCGAGGATTATTAGCTCAAGTGCAGTATGAACTGTTTATGCTACATATTTTGTGTTTGCAATGGCTGCTGTAAAGCCAGCTCACAGTTTGGGCAGAAAAAGCTTTTATCTGTCTTCATGCATTCCTATGATGGGCTTTGAAATGTCTCTTTATTATGACACATCCTTCACCAACTATGTGAGTGGACTGTACCAGCAAAGACAGCGAAGCCAAGCAGGACCATGCTCTGCCAAAGGATGCTCACAGTGACTGGTGGTACCCCAGCACAAGCTGTGCTGCTCAAACTTGCTGG